GCAGTTAAATGATCTTACCTCCACCATGCAGGGAGTATAATGATCTTACCTCCACTATAGGCAAGTAGTACAATGATCTCACCTTATCCGAAAAATGAGCCAATCTCAATTTTAATTTCCAACTACTGTTATTTCTTTATGCAGCATATGTCAGTCACGCACACAAAACTATAATCTACGTTTATCTTTCCAATTTCTACCTACTGTAAGAGTTTTCTAACAGTGGACCTAAGCTCTGGCCTCTGCATGACATTAGCAAAACAGTGAGCTGTGGGCCTGAGTTCTGACTTTTGCATTACATAGGCAAAACCTTTTTGGCTGAGAAAAAACCCTACTTGTTAGTTTTCTGGAGCTGTACCTCGAAAAATATGGTTTCTGTCAGACGCAGGAAACGCGAAGAAGACAACGCTTCAATTCCCACTGGTATTTTTTCTCACAAGAGAATGTCAATTCATTTTATATAATACAAATGATTATAAAATGTTTTGAAGAATCATTTATTCATTTGAACAAGTGCTCAGCTTTACTTGGTGTCAGTTTTCATCGTTCACTACTCAGGAATAAGATTGAAACCGAAATTTGTGTAAATATTTCGAATAATGTTCAGGTAAATTAGTATTGAAATATTCTCGATCAGTCGACGGATTTTGAATTCAAGATAGCACATCATTATTAAGTGAATAATCTATTTATCCTTTTAAGGCTACAATAATTCTTTTCTTTTCACGTATAAATTTTATAGAAGAAATAATACTGGTTGTGTCACTTAAGATGTCCTGCGAGCATTAAAAGGGAAATTTGAGATCTTTAAAAACCTCTATGTCGAGTTGAGTGTACCGATGGAATAAATACGTTAAATACCATTCAATCTAGCCGATTTATTCCGGAATCACCTGTGATTATGAGTGATTACATAAACTCTAATACCACGAGGCTGTATAGAAATATTTAATATTTTTATTCAATACTTTCGATTTCTTCTCTTGTTCTCGATCTAAAATAACTGAAGAATTTGAATTCTGCGCATAGATAAAACAAAAATATAACTCAGTACTCACTGTCGTGAGTGACAGAGAGCGCATTTTCTAGTCGACGAAAACATGAAGTCACGGACATGGCGAGCACAATATTGCATTTATTTCATAAATGAGAAAATGCGCTAATAAATGAGAAAATGCGCTAAAAAACGTAGAAAATGTTAATTTTTACCACTGCTATCGCTTACTAACTGATGAATTTATAGATAATTTTGTTATTAATGTAGATAATGGTTATGCATTGTAGATTGTAATTATATTTTATGTATGTATTTTAGATTATGTAGTCTCGTTTATAGTTCGAGCGAAAAGAATGACCAAATGCAAGTATAATCTCCGAAGAGAACCACAAGCAAATATTTATTCAGTCATGAAATTTCATTACTCAGGCAATTTCGATTCTTAATCCACCAATCCGTGCTGGCTCCCATGGTTGAAAGCTTATCGTCAATAATTTGCGTTGTCATTTCGCTTTCCATGCTTTGAACTCTTTTCTGCATATAAGATAATCTTTTCCACTCTTTATAAATATATATTTACACCTTGAACTATAAACTGAGAGTGTCACTAACAATTTAATAGAACGTGAGAAATGCTTGTTCCGGTCATGGTTAAAAACAATGTTTCTGCATGTGTGGTTAATGCGCAGAAAAAAACTTATTTTATTTCATGCCAATATTTTATTCTCTTTATTGAGTGATTGGCAGTGCGTGTTGAACTTTACGGAACACATTATTACTACTGATATCAGAATGACAGAGCGAGCGTGATCTAAGGTACTCAACGCTGCAATAATATCATAAACTGGATTTAACGTCATTGGAAAACTGAAAAAAAGAGTGTCGTGAATGATTGTTAGAGATATGGCTTAATACGAAGATTGTCCCCAAATCAAGAATATTTCATTAACCAACATATAAAACTGAATAATCTAATTACAGTAATTTAGTGTGAATCACAAAAAAGCCTATTTGACCAAACGGTATTATTTTCCATAGAAATTTTGAAGCTCTATTTTTAAAAGTTATTATTATATTAACTTTATCGATCACATTTCTGTGCATTTCATTCCATTGTTTATGATGTCAAGTCTCCATTAACTGCAGTGCTGCTAATGCCTATAACGACATCGGCAGCCAGCAGAAATGTTTTCTGGATTTTTTTATTTCATTTCGATGCCCCTTTCATTTTTTCCCTTTAAGATGCAAATATTTTGAGCCCGTTGACTGTGATGATCCATAAAGCGCGGCGCCAGTCTTAATTTCATCAGCTTTTACGAGGCAGTGTCATTAGAAGGATCTTACAGGACCGAATAAAATGTTATCTTTTCAAAAGTATGGCCATCTCACACAATGAAATAATGCGTGACATTAATACGCGTAAAATTTCATAGAACAAAAATTTTGTATCATTTAATTAATAACGAAATAAAAGCTTAATTTAATTATCGAAGTACCGCCCTCTATAATAAACACCCTTGGACCGAGCAAATTAGTTTTGATTTCTCTGGTTAATTTCTTATAATAGGAGACATATTTGAGAGACGGCTAGATTTTAGAACATTTTTATAGTTATGTTTCAGCTAGAAGCCCATACGAGTATTTGACAGAAGGTGGAATTCTTTACGATTCTTATTATCTTCTCTGCGGCCATGATTGAATTAATAACAGATGGTGAGATTTGTGAGATTTCACCATACTTTTTTGTATGTGTCGTTGCTAAAGGGATCAAGAGCGGACATGGCTGCAAAAATACGATTTTTTCTTTTGTCATATATGTGACAGATGGCGAGATTTTACAAGGGCACTCCAGCAAAGTCGATTTTGTGATTTTGAAGATACCGAATGAATAGCGAGTTTCTCTTCAAATCCTTCACGCAAACGAGTTTTCTGACTGGTCGTATCGTCAAAATTCCAATTCGGTGCATTTTGGGATCAGTCGCTTCTCCAACAAATTTCAGAAAGACCCTTCAAAGTCGAATGAAGTACGTCATTTCTAATCTAAATTCAATTATAGTAGCGAGGAAAGAAGTCTCAGATGTCACTCTATATCGTTTTACCAACAGACTTTTATGAGCAATGAAGACCAATTTAGGTTCTCCAAAACCCATTGAATAAAATGAAATGTTTTATTCATTTATATTGATAAATACGCTTGTTAATATTGTGTGACGTATTTAGTACACTTTACAATAATATGATACGTGGAACACAAACTGCCTTGCTATTCAGTCATTGAATTCTTTTAATTTTTCAGGGATAATTTGTCAATCTCCTAACCTAAAATCAGACACCACAATTCCTATACGGCTATAAATGCAATTCAAACTAAGAAATTATAATCTTAAAATGTTATTTTTCATTGCCGGAAAATGAAGCCAATGTAATTAAATGGCATGTATTTTTTATAAATTGCAAACTTATATTCGTATTTTCTATTGCACGCCGTCTTGCAAAATTTTATGAAGCATATTGATCTGCTTTACGTAAATCAAACTTCACTTAGCCAGCTTCTAAAGCTCGGAGCAAGACCTCGCCGAAGTACTTTACATTCAACCGTCCAACTCTACGATGATGAATCGCACTAGCCTCATTCCCCTACAACGACCGGATATTTATTCCGACTGCAGTATTTAGGAGATTGATGGATGCTCATATGTTTGAGATCGTAAGACGAGAACGAGTGAAGTGTGGTGAAGGAAGATGCAGAGTGAGATAAAGTCAAATTGAAAATCGTATATGGTCAATGTACGAATAATTATTGGGTAAAGCTTTTGGCAAAATTCAGACATTAAGCTATCGATGTATCCAACAGACAAATTAAAAACATTTTCTGTCAATTTTGTCCAAATTATTGCAATAACATAGCGTAATTCCGAAATCTAATGTCGATAGCGATGTCTCAGTTTATATGTCGTTCAAACTTATGCGCAAACGAAAAATCACTGATACAATTTACTCATTGACTTGCATTTAAGAGCAAATAATTATCCAGGAAGCTGATCGGAAAGAAACAAAATTGCATTCTGCAATCCCTAAGCAAATAAATACCTAAACAAAGGCATTTGGTCACCGTTCCAAGAAAAAGTCTACGGACATTTGAAACGGGCGCATAAATTCAAGCGATGTGCTGGCCAATTTAAGACATGATTGACTGCTAAGCTGAATGAGTTAACATAACAAGTTTCAAGTGTAAAACTTCATGAAAATTTATATTTTGGCGATTGGCTCTAATTGGCTGGACATCAGTACAGAGCTACTGAAAGAAATACTATCAAATTATTTTCGACCATTTGAATTGTATTGCGTTGTAACCTATATAAAGACGAAATGTTCAATCGTCTCACGTAATGTATTTGATCGAGTACAAAATTAATTTTATTTACCTCCGTGTCAGCAATGATATTTTTCCACGAAAATTAAAAGCCGAAACAAATCTTGGATAAAAAAAATGCCCGGCAGTGCTGCAGATAAGGGAAATGAGGTGAAATGTGTGACTTGGTTTTATCTAAATCGATCTTTTAGATATTCAGCTAGTTTTCAGTAAATTTTGCACAGCGACAAATACAAACACGAATATTTTATTACAAAAGAAATGGATTCGTGCACCAAGTTATACGAATAACACCAATAAATGGATTTGACAAAAAAATCTTAACTCCTTAAAATTGATTCAAATCTTCTAGTGAACTTTGTCCGCGGATCGTTCGACTGCTGTAAAATTTAACAATGCATTATTTTAAATTAACTGACACCAAGTTCAATCCGGAAAATACTGAACATTATTCGATTATCTTTTGCTCGACAGGTAATATAAACTATTTATAAATAATACAGAGATATTTGGATATATTAAAAGACAAAAATTTTTTATGATACAGTGCATACTTACAATAATAATAATTCATTAGATCTACATATTGCTTTCATTTTCGCGCTTCATTTTGGAGCAATGTGTACTTACAATTCACACTGACGATCTCCAGGACGAAGAAGAGAACATTAAAGCTTGGAAACAACATTTTTGCTATGCTTCTTTACTGATAATTATTCAATTATTTATTAACTGAATTATGGTTTTAGATGTCTTTCCAAGCAGATCAAAACGAAAAAACACGCTTAAAGGTAAAACTGCAGAAAAGGTAAATTTTCCACGTCCGTTAGAAGCTTAAACAAGTGAATTTTTTTTAAGATGCTGTCTTTCAGAGTTAAATCACTTCCAAGAGCTGTTATCTTGGATGCTAATAAACAAATTTCATGTGATTATCAAAATACCTCATTTTGCACGTTACACAAATTTATTTAGACGAAATTATTTTTTATGAACATCAGCCGAAAAACTGTTAGGTTTTTCCCGGAAAAGCCAGGCAATATGAATCATTTGTTCTAGTACAATTTCCGGCGAATTTTAAAATGTTCTCTGCTTTAACAATGTTTTTTTCTTTAATTTTTGTGTATTCTAATCCAGAAATCTATCGAAACTGTCACATCCATTCCTAGCAAAACGGTTTACACAATTTAAATTCATATTTTCAGTGGCTTTCTTATGTTATTTTCAATTTTAACTGTTTATAAAATACATTTTTGTGAAAATTTCCTCATTTTCGTAGTCACTGAGTTTATTACGCAGAAATGTCTCACATAATTACCGAAAACTTACTTTTTTAGTGGCCAATGCAATGCTAAAATATAATTAATACGAGCGATCGGCGCCTCAGCAAGGAAGCGTGAACGACAGCCGTCAAAAGAGTTCGGTAACTGCGTGTCTGAGACCCCTCGTTCCGCGGAACAACGATCGCGCTCGTCGCCGCACTGCCGAACTTAGCGAAAGATATTTATCGATTCGACCGAAGCTCTTGCGTGCATCGAACAGAGCGTCTGCCACAAGACGTCCCTCACCTGACTGACTCGAGCTCGCACCACGGAGCCCCAAAGAGAACCCGTCTCCCCTTCTTTCCCCTCCACCTGATGCAGGCTTGTGCGACTGCGCGACTCCCTCACAAACCCCTGATCACGAGGGAGCATTCCCCTTGCCCTAGCTTCTCTTCCTCACCCTCTCTGTCCCTCCTTTGGTCCCTGAGGCTTATCCCTCATTAGGTCCTGTGCACCAACTACACATGCATGCTTGCACGAAAGTTGCGCCAGAAGTCAATACATTATATATTCAATAGTGAGGATAAATACTGTGAATATTCATCTTCCATTTGATCCCTTTATTCGTATTTTATGATGGCAAAAACCCAATACCAAACGCCTGTTTGGAATTTTCCACGTGTAGATGTGAATTTTATGTCATAACGTTACTCGTTTCAGAAGACCGCTGATTTTTAGTTTATTTTTTTTTAGTTTATTTAGACTGAAAATATTTCATGAAAATGATTACGCGGCCAGTTTTATGATAGCAATGATTATGAATGGCAAGAAAAAGAAGCTTAGCCCCAGGCTTTTGGACTTGAGGGCAAAATAAGATCTAATTAGGACTTCTGTCGCGTCTTGCGCTCTGAGCTGAAGAAACGGAAAGTCAGTCGAACTCTGATGTGGGATTTTTCAGTTTACTGATCTTATAAAATCAGTGAAAAGGATCACAGATCAGCTGGATGAATAAGATTTGAACTCAATGAAATTAAATCAAATATGACTATCGGGACCCAGATTCTACCTCATGACTTTACTATTTAGATTTATAGAAGAAAAAATAATTATGTTGAGCCATGGATGTAACAAACTTTTTTTTATATCTGGATTATATATACCAAGTATTTTCATGGATGCGTTTTCCCTGCTAAATTTGTTTACTCGTTAATTGACTTCTTATTAATATAACTCATAAAATTTTCCCATTACATTCTCAACAAATTTTACCTTTATTACAAAGAGAAAAGTTTTTTAGTTTTATTCATGATATACGGTGTATCAGTAGGAAGTATGCTTATAAATAATTAATTAGAGGTAGTCGAACTTACAATGGGACTTGATGATTAGAATTAAATTCGCTCATTAGCGGTTTATATTAGGCGTATTTGCGTCATATTAATTAGGCTCATTATCTTCTAACTTCGAGTGAGAATGGACTTACGTGTAAATTTATTATACAACGTAGTTATTATTAATATTTTCCTTTATTATTAATAAGGATAATATTGGTACATACCTTTATTGTTTGACTCTATTTTAATTTTAATAATATTTTGGTAAATTCTTCTGGTTGAAATTTCTCCGAAGTGGAGCAGTGAACACAATATATTTTTACTGTAAAATTGTCACAAAAGGTACGAAAAGTGCACTAAATTTCTTGGGAGCTCAATTAAATAGAGTAATGTTTTGCTGCAGAACTGCTTTCAGACGTTGCATTTTTTTAAATGCAATGATTCAATTAATCTGCATTTTCGGTTCCTTAATTTTTGGCTTATAGAAATTTCTGATCTCTGAGATACATTGTATAAATATATTGGGATATTATATTGATATTGTTCATTTTTGCCTTTTTATATCGCCTCATCATCCTCATCCTGATAGAGCGTCAAACAATCAAGTTATTTTTGGCAATTACCGAAGTAAACCTCGATGAAAAGCGTGCGATTATTTCGCGTGTTAGTAACAGTCAGCTAACGGGAACAAAAATTTGAGTAGCCACTCTCCCAGAAGTCTCCTCCCTCAGGGCCTTGCCTTAAACTTTTGTTCATAAACAATTTTATTGGACAATAAGCTTCACTGAAACAATCTGTATAAGTAAGTCATATATAATTAATTTTATTTAATCTTCCACTACTGAAAGAGTTTTTAATAATCGGAGAAAATATATTATATGCTACAGATAGAATCCTGAAATACTTCCAGCGCACAAAAATGTGCTCTTGCTTCCTTGACTAAAGATTATGCAGCACGACCATCAGCACCGGAAATACGTGGTTAGGAGGAAGTATGAAAATATCTTTTAATGTTTACTATTTCCATGCCTTTTCATTTTCCACCTCATGATTCGTGCACCTTTAGCAGCCATTCATGGAAAGACCCTTCAATATTTACCATTCAAATAAAAATGCGCCAGGTTTTGCCGCGAGTGAATCGACTATAGTTGAAGAATTCTGCGGTATCAGATACATATGCCGAATTCCACGCAGTTCGGTCTGCATTCCTCAGCCAGAGTCACCGCTTCATATCGCAAAATAAACTTTGCATGAGAGCACGAACTCTAAAAATTCGGGCGGAACGCACACAAAAACAAAACTTTGATCAGAAATTGGCACAGTATTGGTAAAATGGATAATTTTTTAACAATCGTGTTTGTCCACGATCTCGAAACTATTTGACAACAGCTGCAAATTTTCAGATAAAACGGCTGCTAAAGAATTCAATGGGTTTCATGTTATTATGAATTTTTGAATCAAGAAAAGCAAGCAGATTTTCACTTGTCACGCATGCATGTGAATGATTTTGACTAGCGAATTTTTTCATTTCTATTTCATGAATATAAAATCCGCGATACTGTGGAATTTGGCTACCCGCATAAACCGTGACCATGAAACAAATCTTAAATTTTATTTGAAGGTGCCGATGTGTGCGAGTGCAGATGTTTCTCCTTTTTAATCCATGTAAACTAATAAATATCGTCGTCACGTTCTTTCAACTCCTCAAGTATCGTTAACTTATGAGAGCTTACTTTTATGTACGTTGCTAATAATTTTTCCAAACGTGTTCTAAAAAATATTTTCTAACATTTTTGAGTCATTTTTATCAATTTCATAATATATCTCAATGAATTAATTTAGGTGATTATTATTTTTTAATTCAAATTGGGTACGTTAGCCATTTTCATTCTCAAGAAAGGCATATATCATAAATTTCAAACAGATTTAACATTTCTCATATGTACAACATCAGTTTTTTCGCACATAACTACCTCTTTCAGGTTTATGCATTTCTACATATTTAAGACATTTCCAATGAATTCCTGACACTATATCTAAATTGTTCCGCGTATTTGGTATCCAATGCAATATGTGAATGTTATGCATAATGAACTCATGTTTTTGGTATCCTTCCATATTTTAATTAGTCAGCAATCATCTACCATTAATTCGATATGCCATCTCCGTTACTTTTTCCAACAAACGCACAACACAAACTTTTTTTTCTAATGTCTTATCGATATTAGAGCGCATGTCTACAACGCCTATGACACTGTCCCTTCGATTAAATTTCCTTCTAATCAATCATTTGTTTCAGATTTTTATGTTTTCATGCAACTATTAAGGTACTTATCTGTACCATTTTTGCCTTGCATAAAATTTATTATTAGTCTGCTTCGTCTATTAGAGTTCAGACGTATAATAAGATCTGAATTGGAGAAATAAGAATGGAGGAACACTAGCGCCTTCAGTAATATCTGTTATTTGACGACCGAATTCGCAATCGTCTTGCATAAATATACTCTCACAGCTGTTGAAATGACCATTACACTCCCGCTGCGACAGTTCCCGCAATAGCCATTTCAAGGCTTCTAACATTTTCACCGGCAATCCGACTGCTTTAGCGGCAGTGTAAAAGGAAACGTATTAACAAGTTTTATTGGTCACTCGATCTTCTAACGGGAATATTTGCATATAGAGTACCAATAAAGACAGGCAAACCAGAGTGTTTGGGTGCTGGCTTCACACTCCGACCAGATCTGTCGTCAGACTCAAGACGCTCACGGAACTGCCAGCTTAATTTCTGCCTCATCACAAGTAAACCAATTACACTTCCCGAGCAACTCTCCAACTTTGTCGAAGTTCTAAAAAAATGTTGGTGTTTTGGATGAACTGCGTAGATTCTTACTCGCTGACTTTCTCGAGTTCTCTGATACTTCGGTTTAATTTCGCGCAACATCGCGATTGAAAATTTCACGCGGAGTATCAGGAACCAACCGCCTATTATTAATTGACCGTTCGGGAACCGGCATGGATTTTCAACCAAAATTGAGAATGGTTGATATTTTCCTCATGGCTCGAGAACACTGCCAAAGTTTGTCGCTCGATCAACGGCACAGAGCAAGAAAACTAGTTCAATTTTTTCAAGATTATTGTATTTCTCATACATCAATTACTCATAGTCACGATTATTCCTTGATAATAGTATTTTCATAAGGACTACATATTTTATACATAAAAAGAAGTTAGACACTTGCAGTAAAGTTGTAAGGATTTCTGTTGCACAAAGGATAAAAAAGTATGTGTATGAATTTAGAAAAAATATTTTCCTGTATGTAGAAAAAGTATTTGCATGCATGAAACGAACGCATTTATATGCATGACGTAAAACTAGGTCTATGCACAGCTACTAACAGACCTAGCTGCTTCTGTTCCGCCCTGTAAATGACCAAGGCATTAGCCCGTTTGCACAGTAGCACGCAATTACTGTAACTGTTTGCCCGAGACCGGCTCAATACCTCGTCCCTTATAGGATGAATGCCCCCATGTAGGAAGATATAGTGCTTAGGCTGAATGCCCGGCCTACGCCTACTATAATCACTTCATTAGCTCATGAGTTGGCAACATGAGGCGCAAGAATGCATGGTTGGCTTGCA